AAAACACTGCCTCTTAATTGGCGCTCGTTTGCTACATTAGCTGTCCTGAAGGGTTCGTTTAGCTAACGAGCTCCGGGTTCAACTTCTTTTTTGGGGGGGGGGGCGTCAGGATTGATGATGAAGCCATTTTATGTTCTGAAAGCTCAAGACAGAGAGCGTGTTTATGCAAACTTTGAAGAAGTCTTTGAAAAACACCATTCATTTATTTTGGAAAAATCACATCTCATAAATCACTTTCAGATTAGATCTGTGGAAAGCTGACAATTGGAGAGGGTTGACAAGAATTGGATTGCAGACAACCTCTATTATAAGAAGGTACAAGCAAAAATCAGCATCTACCGTATTTGATTTGGCCCCCAAAGAAAGACTTCGAATTGCCTGTTGACGCAACAAGATGTCTAGACAATGTTCCTAAAATGACTTCAACATGGTTCCTTTTCACAAAAAATACCACAAGATGGCAGCAAGGCACTACTTTTGTCAAAATGAAGCTCCTGAGCTCACTTCAACATAGTTTTTTTTGGTGCCAAGGTGTTGTCAGATAGTGGTAAAGCACTACATTTGTCTAAATAAAGTCCTTCAACCAGTGGTGACTTTTTTCCATGGCTGCCCGAGACTTTTTTTGTGGGTCTGCTCACAATTAGCATATATGTTGTGGTGCTAAGTCAAAGCGATCCTTCAACGACACTAAAATGGTTGCCGCGTCTTTTCAGGCATTGCTTCTTGAGGCTTTTTTGTGGGTCTATTCATGATTGATGTGACAACCAAATTTGTCAAACTGGCTTCAGGGGCAGAATCTTTCAAAGATTCCGGCTGGCCTAAAAATAACCGGGTCGACAAACAAAGCCTCAGTGTAATCCCTCAAATATCTTGTCAGTCAAAATCAATACTGTTCTCGCTTCAGAAACAAAGATCAGAAAGTCTTTGAGGAGGCAGTGGATGAAATCTTCCTTAATCCCGTCACTTTGACATTTCTCGCTCGTTGATCGCAATCTCGATTAGACGCGACCGCCGTTACGAATCCGCGCATCGGACTATATTATGGAGTCATCCCGTGGAACGTGCCACAGGTTTGCCGCCACGCATTGTTTTGTTCTGTCGTCTCGCAGAGCGACAGGTCGTGACAGCGGGGATCTCCAAAGGTGGCGTATCGAGGCGGAAACCACCTTAAAATATCCCCAAGCCGAGACCCCGACTTTGGAGGCGGCTTGAGGGGCGCCTGCAGGCCAAACCCAAACAAACTTTCATGTTGCCGTGACAGGGTGGCAGGCAGACGCAGCCTGGGGAAGACGTCAACATGTGTGCCAGTTTGTGGAAAATGTTGATTCATTGGGGGGAAAAAAAAAACCCAAAACTATTCGGATTCATTCGGTTGGACAAAAGTATTTGGACATACTGAGGAAGTCAAATGTGAAATTGTTCCCTCCCACTTTTCCAGCCAAATCGATCAATATTTTGTCACGTGGACCGTTTTTTTTTAAATGAAAATCTAGAGCATTTTTACTGACGATCATTAAGCAAATAGTATTCTGTGACAGAATATTGCTTATTTGGGAGTAAATGTGGCGTTTTAATGGAAATTAGTAGATGTCCATGAGAAAATGCACATTTACGAGTCAAATATAATTCCACACGTTAAAAAATGTGCACAAAAGGGCGGGCACAGATTAGACATTGATAAAAATGTTTGGTACCCAGCATGGTTACAGAAATAACTGACAAAGTAATTATATGTTCTCATATATAAGTCATTTTTTTTATCATTTTATGAAAACGAAAATTAACCAAAGAAAATACGACATCGATTTGAACAGAATTCTTTTAAAAAGCAAACTCGTGAAATAGGACTGGACAAAAAAAAACGATGGCACCCCTAAAAAAAGATTGAAAATCATTTGACCGCAGGCACACGTTGAGCCAAGGCGTGTCCTCTTATTAAGCATCACGTCAAACTTGTTCTCAATCGGCCGGCCGGTCTACGTCACGGGTGACAAGGACTTGCTGAGCTCTTTGTTGACATGGCGCGTACCACACTAAACGCGGCACAGAAGACGTCAAGGAGAGTTGTTTTGATGTCCCCGTGATCCCAGTTGCACAGCTTGAGAAATTTGAGATCCGCGGCACTGGAGCCAAACTCCCTGGACGTCGCCGCGGGAGGAAAATGGACAAATTGAAGAGACAGAAATAGAGACGGTAGCAAAAGAGCCCAAAACCACCTCCAAATAAATGATAGGTGAACTCCAAGGTCAGGTTGCGTCAGGGTCTTATCGCGCCATCCGTCACCGTTTGAGCCAAATTGGACTTCGTGGGAGACGACCACTTTTGAATAGCAATCGTAAGGCTTCCGGGAGAATGCCCGACGACGCACACGTGAGGCGGAGCGAGAAAAGAACACCGAGCCTACGATGAAAAACACGGAGGAGGCTTTCTTTTGCTCTGGGGCCGCTTTGCTCCATCTAGCGCAGGATGTCTTGAATCTGCGCAGGGTTCGACCAAGTCTCAAGCGATTCCAGCGAGAAAAATGCTGTCCGGTGTCAGATAGCTTGGCCTCAGTTGCGGGTCTCGCAACGGGGAAATGAGTCAAAACGCACAAGAATGGCATTGCCAAGTGGCCTTCTACGAGCCCTGACCTAAACCCTAGGGAACATCGGAGGCGACCCGTGCCGTCTGGAGAAAGAGGCCTTCAAAGCTGAGGCAACGGGAGCACTTTGCTCAAGAGGAGCGGGACAAAAATCCACAGTTGAATGTGCCAAAATTTGCTTTGTCGCGATCGCGCGACAAAGTCTCAAGTGAAGGCTAGCGTCAGTTTTGTCCAGGCCTGTTTCATTCGCTTGGTCTTTCGAAATCAGTCAAAGTGGCGCATTTTCTTTGGTATATTTTCATTTAGTTTTACTTTTGTCAGATTCATGTTCTTCCCGTGGCCACTCTGGGCTTTTCTTTCGCTACCAACAATTTGGTCCTAGATGCAGAGGAGATACTGATATAGACACGTACACTTCTATATGTTCAGGTATATTTTTTCTTTTTTGTGGCAAGCGCTATCTGTTAGAAGAGTATGGTTGGGACACATATGGCGTCTGTGGATTTTTAGTGTTTGGCGACGTGTACACGGAGGAGGAAGGAGCGTGTCGGGTCATGATGCGTTTACTTACAGGTAATAAGAGTAGGAATAAGCATGTCTTCTGAAGCGTGGTGAAGGTGAAGGCCCGTGATGAGCAAAGAAGAAGGAAGACAAGCGACAACCCAGAAGAAGGACAAACACAACCAGTCAATTGATTAGTGATTGGCGGGAACGGCACCGTTGGCTTCTATTTGGGGTTTCTTCATTAGCGCTGTTATTATTTGGATGAGTATTCCAACTTTTTTGGGGCCATTAAGAGAACTTGTTGTTTTAGTCATGTTGTTTTTTTTACATCCCCACTTCCACCCGTGATTATCCATTTTGCTGTTTAGATGCTGCCCTGGCATTTTTTTTGGAGGGGAGCGGGGGGGG